AAAAAGACATCTTCACAAATAGACCAAAAAGCAACATCATAATAAATGGAGAAAAAACTGAAGTTGTCAAGGATTTAATTTTACCTGCTTCCACAATCAACACCAATGGAAACAGCAGTCAAGAAATCAAATGACATATTGCATTGAGCAAACTACCTCTTTAAAGTGTTTAAGTGTGAAGATGTCACTTTGAAGACTAAAGTGGGCTTGGCCCAGGCCATGGTGTTTCCAGTAGCCTCATATGAATGTGAAAGCTGGACAAGGAATAAGGAAGATGGAAGATTTAATGCATTTGAATTGTGATTTTGGTGAAGAATGTTGAAAATACCATGGACTGCCAGAAGAATGAAAGAAATCTGTTTTGGAAAAAGTAGAACTGGAATGCTCCTTAGAAGAGAGAATGGCCAAACTTATCACATACTTTGTTCATGTTGCCTGAAGGGACCGGTGGCTGGAGAAGGATATCATGCTGGGTAAAGTAGATGGGGTAGATTGACACAGTGGCTGTGATGATGAGCTCAAGCATGGCAATGATAATGAGTATGGTGCAGGACCAGGAAGTGTTTTGTTATGTTATGTTTACATACGTTTACTGTGAGTTGAACCTGACTCTATGGCACTTAACAACAACAACAACATCAGATGTATAGGAACATGGAAAAAGAAAAGGAAAAAAAAAAAAAAAAACTCACCACAATCAAGTTGATTCTGACTCATAGCAACCCCTCCTTGGGTTTCCCAGGTGTTATCTGTATGGAAGTAGATTGTCCAGTGTTCCTTCTGAGGAGTGGCTGGTGGGTTTGAACCACCAGCCTTCTGGTTAGCAGTCAAATGCCATAGGCACTATGCCACCAAAATACCTCTAAATAAAAATAATTGCTTCTTCAATTCCTACTTACTTTCCGTCATTCACATGAAGTGTGTATGTGTGCTTGTGTGTGTGTACATTCATCCTTGCAGAAATAAGACTCATACACATACATAAATGTGCATATACACATGTACACACACATATCAGCTCAAAGACAAAACTATTGACAAAATCAAAGGTGGCTAACATAACTGAACCATCATTACCAGCTATCCCAAAGTGTATTGACCAGCGTTCAGTTTTTCTACTGAATTTACTTCCTGATTCTGAAATAACTCCTTTGAAGATAGTTGTTTATGACTCTGATCTATTCCCCAAATCCTATAGTTAGAAAAATATACTCCTTCTGTATGACCTTAAACTTTGTGTTTTAACTTGTTCTACCTACCAAAATGATGAAATAAAGAATTGTCTTAGAATTGCATTATTTATGGAAATTGAATCATTTGACACAACAGTAATAGATGGGGAAATTTATTATTTTGGATTACAAAGGTAATTAAGCAAAGAAACTGAAGGAAATGACTAAATATACAAGGCTTACATTATCTTGAAAGGAAAATCAATATATCAAACTTACTGTTTTATTAAAATAGCAGCTACTGTTTTGACTGAATTTATTTCCTAAAGCTCTTACCTATGGATAAAATAATCAAGGCCAATGGAAGCAGCAGTCAGGACATTAGATGATGTGTAGCACTGGGTAGGTCAGCTGCGAAGGAACTCTTTAAAGTGCTGAGGAGCAAGGATGTCTCCTTGAGGACTAAGGTGCACCTGACACAGGCCATGATATTTCCAATTGCCTCACATGTATGCACGTGAGAGCTGGACAATGAATAAGGAAGACAGAAGAAGAGTTGATGTTTTTGAGTTGTGGTGCTGGCGAAGAATGCTGAAGGTACCATGGACTGCCAAAAGAACTAACAGATCTGTCCTGGAAGAAGTGCAGCTGAGATGCTCCTTAGAAGGGAGGATGGCCAGACTTCTCTTACCTACTTTGGTCATGTTGTCAGAGGGGACCATTCCCTGGAGAAGTATATCATGCTTGGTAAGGTGGAGGGTCGATGAAAGAGGGAAAGGCCTTCGATGAGATGGATTGACATGGTGGCTGCGAC